TATACTGAGCAACTCTATTTGATCCCGAAAAGGTTAATAGAGAACTACGTATTTGTTCATGTTCCGAACTTGAATAAAAAATTGTAGCATTTTTATATATATTTTTTATACATACAGTGGTATGCATAATTATAAACTCAAAGTAACTTTTACATTTTTACGGATATTTAAACAAAAATTAAAAAAAAACACTATATTTGAATATTTCCAATTTCTATTATTTTTAATATAGAAATATTACAAATGTGTGGTTTCGTTAAGTTTTTGTTTAAATATCGCTAATAATGTAAAAGTTACTCTGAGTCTATAATTATTTGCACCACTGTATTATTGTCTCATTTTCAACATTTACTTAATTTTAATAAACAATCAATTACACTGTCCACCTAATTGTAACTTTATTTTTACGTTCTGTTCTATTTACCAATTAGGCGGTTCTTGTTGCACATTTGTGTATTTATTGCTTTCAATGTTTACTATTATATTATCATCAGCGATTGTTAGAAAGAATTCCGAGGAAATCGTAATACATAAAACTTAACAAACATTCCTCAAAACAATGCATCTATTTGTTCCATTTGTTTATTATTGTTCACGTTTAAGGTCACATTGATCTCATTTCTCACGCGAATTATTTTTCTTTTTGCAATGGAAGCCAAAATATTTATTGTTCAAACATGTTTAAACATTCGTAATCTACAACAAAATACATATATCGTTGTGTTGCAAACTGCTTTCCAGGCTAATTAGTCGTAATAAAATGACGGGATACCGAGGACTGTCGTGGGTGTTAGTGGTTTGCGCATGCCTCAGCAATTTTGTTGCATCCGAGGGCCATGCACCATCGGTGAACATCAAAAATGGAACATTATCGGGCCTGGTTATGAAAACCAGACATGGAAGAGAATACGCGGGCTTCCGGGGAATTCCTTATGCACTGCCACCACTCGGAGAACTCAGATTCGAGGTAAGATTATCTCTATGCACATATTTTCATATTAATTGCATACTGCGGTTGAAATAGGGTATCGACAATGTACATAGAAAAATTCAACGTACAAAAATTATTAAGTTTTGTAATTGTATTCCCCTTAATTTTTCCGGAACAACATCACAATTTTATTTATTTGTACACCAGAATATTGTACTTTGCATGTATTTTCCTCACGTGACCAGTAAAAGTTGTTATTCGCTATACTTCTTTCTGAAACTATAAATAATAATAATAATGTTTGCTTGAAGTTATTTATAGACAAATGCTTAAATATATTTCAAGTATTACAATAACGAAATTTCAGTCAAAATGCTTATACTAATCTTAAATTCCAATGACAAAAAGCTTGTTCTGGATTTTTTTGTACCACAATATATATATAATAACGATGAATAATAATAATGTTTACTTGAAGTTATTTATAGACAATTGCTTAAATATATTTCAAGTATTACAATAACGAAATTTCAGTCAAAATGCTTATACTAATCTTAAATTCCAATGACAAAAAGCTTGTTCTGGATTTTTTTGTACCACAATATGTATAATAACGATGAATAATAATAATGTTTACTTGAAGTTATTTATAGGCAAATGCTTAACTATATTTCAAGTATTGCAATAACGAAGATTCGATAACGAAGTTAAGATGCTTATACTAATCTTAAAGTCGAATGACGAGAAACAGGTTCTGGATACTTTTTGTACCGCAATATGTATTATAATAATTTCAGCACATTTCAGTGGAACACATCATTTATAAATCGTATTTTTATAAATTGCTCTTTTATCTGCTTTAAAACATACGCTCGTGTACAGTGAATTGCATCGATTCATTGAACGAATTGCTTACGGGAGGAAAACGATAGCTATTCTATAAATACTTAACAATCTGCTAATTTCACGGCAAGAAATAATTGTATAATAATGATCAATCACCGCTGAAATAGCAGACTCAATCGAGTTGATTCGAATTTTAGATTTTTATCATTTTTTCTAAACGAGACGGTGGAATGTGTATCCGCATTATGGTAAAGCCACATTGTTTATCCGATCCTTGTTATTAAAATCGTCGCAAGTGGATTCAAAGTTCAAAGAATGTATACGAACGAATAATATATTGTTAATTAATATGATACGAAATAGATCCATAAAATCATCAGTTTATTTCACATGTGTAGACTTCAAAGTATTTTTGATCAACGTTGGAATATATGCTGTAACATGTTACGTTATAGATCATAAATTTTACAATCTATGAAATGAGATCATAACTATCTGCTAATCGGGTGATCTTCTCAATACGACCACTAGATCGCGGATTTCACACGGAGATAACAAAAATGAGCAGATCAAATCCAAACCGTCGAATTTAAAAGCACTGTTATATCATGTTAAAGTATTAATATTATTAAAGGCAGAAAGAAATTTCTCTCTCTCTTTAAAAATTTGTTCAATTTAGTCTTTTTTTTTGCTAAATTGATACAAAATATATAGAACCCGAATTCCACGTTTCCCACGGTTGGAGTGTTAAGCGCAGAGTATTTTTCTTCTTCATAAAAATTTGCGATTTCATGATCGTTGCACAATTTAGATGAATGTGGATACACAGATATCTGTAGGCACGTATGTAAGTGCTATTAAAAACGCTACGAGAAGACGAAGTTGATTGAAAGCCAAGTTCGCGATCTTTTTAACAATAATTGTAAGAGGATCGAGATGTTGTTCCTTGCTTATTATTTGCAATATTTTGCTAGACACACTCCGAGATATTTATATTGTTGTTAACTGCGAAGTTTCATTTAGATGTCAAAGAAAAAACCTGTTTTCGTCAATATACGTAGCCCATGATGTAATTTTATACTCTATTACGAAACTCTTAGAAATATATATGTCGAAGTGCCACGGTAACTTTTTATGCTCTCACATCGAAAAATTCCTTTTCCCTAGAAATAAACTAATTCGACGTTTTAACTATTTGCTTCTGTCAACATCGAGCTATTAATTATTCAAAGCGTTCATTAACTGAATAGTATTACGTTCGTTGTGTTTCCTAACACGTGAGAAATGTGTATTTGGAATACTGTTCGTAGTTCGAGTAGTGGAATAACATGTTGCTCGTATGTCACTCCATTATTCATAAATTTTTATGTTAATATTTGCAACCGAGTAACGTCATTAGTCAACTTTGGAGCCAGTAATCTTTCTTCAGTCACTCGGTGACACTTATTGTTGGATAATCTAACTATTATCTGTCAATGCGGGTCTGCATATGAATCCTGAGTGATTTTACCATTGCAATCATTGTTCTTGCCTTCTGACAAAGAATAACGTAAATATAATTAATATAATAATAACGTAAAATATTTATTATTATTTCGTAGTTTATATCAACTGCATAACAAATAAACGGATATAAAATTGCACGAAGTCCTACTTTGCCTCGCTTAAACGTACTCGTTAGATAAGATCATATATTTCTGAGTATTGACAAATAATTTCTTGTTATAAATATTGTTGAAATATGATCTTGTCTAACGAGTACGTTTAAACGAGGCAAAGTAGAACTTTGTGCAATTTTATATCCGTTTAATTGTTATGTTATATTAATATGTTATATTAAACTACAAAGTAATAAAGAATATTTTGATTTTAAAATTTCTATTTTATAAAATCACGTTACTCTCTGTCAGAAAGCAATGATGGCAAGATAGAGCGAAGATAACGAAAGATAGGTCTGACATGTTAAGTAGATTTACAATAGTATGCGATAAAGTGGCATACAAATCGTTCTGATATACATTCAGGAAATAAATATACCAGTTTCGTGCATAATTAAAAGTAAACAAAAATAAGGAAACCCGTTCGTAATTCCTACGGAGGATTAAGTATTTCTGCAGTAAGCACATGTTACCCAAAAAGCCAACGTTTCTAAATATTTCGAAGTATGCAAATCCGGCGGATTTTTAAGAAAACATAATAACATCAAATAACATGTAATTCTGACTAAGAAGTAGAATATAAAAGAGATAAAAACAATTTTTACAAAATATGCTTTGGTGTGCGAGATTAAATAATACTCTTTACAACATTCACCCACAATTTTATAACACGATTTATTAAAAAATACGGGTGCCCGCAACAATAATATACAAATAATTACAATCTCAAATAAAAGCGTACTTCATGAAAACTAAAAATAATTTTTGTTTAATGCTAATTTAATATTACATGCAGTTACTCGCTTTTATATTCGGACTTTTTTTTAGATGATAGAGAGACTAGTGTACTAGACAATCACTAAAGTACTTTTCTTTTTAATTTTGATATAACTAGTAATGAAAAAAAATTGAAAACTCTCGTTTGTTCACTTTTTTAGCTGAGCCTATACAAATATTTGTAGATCTCGATAACTAATATGAATTCTGAAAATTTCATCGAAATCGGTTGATATTATTATATGTTACCGCAGATTGAAGATCGCAAATCTTCGAAATCGTAGTTTTCCACGACTTTTGACCAAAAACTGTGAGAAATATAGAGATTTTTACATCTTTCAACGCCTGCAGCTTGACTCTGCCTTAACCGATCTTCGATAAAACTTTCAGCACGTCGTTACCGAGATCTACGAATATCATTTTTTAAAATTATAATTTTTTTAAAAAACATGAAGACCGAGAGAATTTTATTTTTTGTTGCCATTCTAAATCATAGCAAAATTAAAAAAAAAGCATTTTAGTCATTGTGTAGTAGACTAGTCCTTCTGTCATCTAAAAAAAATTCCAGTCATATAGACTAGTCTTAAAAAAGTTAACCTGCTTTAAAAAGTGCCCGAATATTAAAGCTAGTAACTGTATGTAACATTAAATTAACATTAAAAGAAATTATTTTTAGTTTCCATAAAATACGCTTTTATTTGAGATTGTAATTATTTGTATGTTATTGTTGCGGACACCCATGTTTTAATAAATAGTGACAAAATTGTAGATGAATGTTGTAAAGAGTATTATTTAATCTCGCACCAAAGCATATTTTGTAAAAATTGTTTTTACCTCTTTTATATTCTACTTCTTAGTCAGAATTACATGTTATTTGATGTTATCATGTTTTCTTAAAAATCCGTCGGATTTTTAAGAAAAATTCGAAATATTTAGAAACGTTGGCTTTTTGGGTAACATGTGCTTACTGCAAAAATACTTAATCTTTCGTAGGAATTACGAATGGGCTTCCTTATTTTTGTTTACTTTTAATTATGCACGAAACTGGTATTTTTATTTTCTGAATGTATGTCAGAACGATTTGTATGCCACTTTATCGCATGCTATTGTAAATCTATTCAATATGTCATCTAAAAGTAGAATTCAAGTAATTTAGTCCCGTCTTGAAAAAGTTGTTTTGTCTCAAAAGATGTCCGAATGTTAAAGTGGGTATATTCCATTAATTAACGCTGTTAATCCATAACTGTATATTCCATTAATTTTCGCATGTAAAATCAAAGGATAGCGCATAACGAAATCCGTATAATTTTCTTCCAGCCACCGAAGCCATCAGCAGCATGGAATGGCGTTCGACTGGCAAAGGAAGACGCTAAAATATGCACCCAGAGAAACATCTACACGCATGATGATGAAATTGTCGGTGACGAAGATTGCCTGTATTTGAATGTGTATACACCGAAATTGCCGACCGGGGAAGACAAACTGAAAGGAGGTTATCCCGTTATGATCTGGCTGCACGGTTGCGGCTGGATTTGCGGAGCCGGCCATTCCGAGTTCTACAGTCCGAAATTCTTGCTGGACCACGATGCAATCCTCGTTACAGTGAACTACAGGTTCGGACAGAAATCAAGCTACAATGATGAACATCGAACGAATACGAAAATATACGGATGAACGAACGCGACAATTCAATGTGCGGACTTTTCAATACGTTTCGTGGAAATGTACTGAAACGAAAGTTGAATAGACCTTATCCGAAGATTTATTTTTGTAATATCTTGATACCGAAACATACTGTTATTTAAAAATTTCATTCAACTTCTCTACCAAGCGATAATGTATCCAAATAATAACAACGATTAGATCAGGGGTGTCAAACTCAAAAGCTAACTTGGGCCATAATAATAAATAAACAATGCTTAACTTTAGGTGGGCCGCAAAAAAAAAGATCAATGTTCATAGAAACAAATATTTTTATTTTGACTAGTACATTGTGATAAACATATATAAAGTTAAATTATTGTTTACGTCCTGATACTTGACATCAAAAATGTTCATCTCGGGCCGCGAGTTTGACACCCCTGGATGAGATGATAGAACGTTTGGATATCAGGATATTGTAAAAATAAATGTTCGGATAAAGAAGTCTCTTCTACTGTATTCCCTGGATATTTCGAGGCACAGCGAAGTTTAGAGCAATGACGAAGCGTTATAGCAGGATGTAATTTTGTGATCGTTTCTCATTCTTTCTTGTTCGCATTAAAATTATAGGGAAAAATACGATATTCATAATTACCGTGGGAAAGTTCAGCTGTTTTCCGCAGTTATGAAACAAGCACGATATAAATCTGAATCGATGTGAGACGAGTTCAATGCAATCTGCGGAAACTGGTCTTGAGATTCATAAAAAGTGTATCGCGTTCTTTATGATGCTTCATAGCTACGCTGGCCCTGCAGTTAATTGATCAAATACCACTTTGCAGTATCCGTTGTTTTTTTTACTCGGTAGAAGACGTAATTGAGAACCTGATTTAACTCGGTTGCTTCAGTCTGGCCGATCTTTATGTTAGCATTCGAGCGGCAATCTTTCTAACAAAAATATAACCGAGATAGATCGTTTATCATTTCAGCTGTCAATATTTGATCGATGATTCGTCGAAGAATTGTAACAGTGAATTATCAATAGTGAATAACAATTTTTGTACGAGTCCAGATCGTCCGAGTGTCGAATCAATAATACGAGTCATATTTAAATACAAAAATAATCTGAATTTGATATTACATTGCAATTTATTGTATGTCAACGAGCTAAAGCTCATTCGTATTATATCAAATTAAGTGTGCTGTATGTATTAGATTGTGTAATAAGTCCGTTCGTGGACCTCTAGACACGTAGGAAATAACAAGGAAAATTACACGAATTCAAAGCGACAATTCAGATGGATTTTAAGATACGTTCCGGGAAAGCTATTTCTATACAATTTAGCTCAAATGGAAGGTGAAAGTGCCTACTTTAAGACAGGGTAGATTATATTGCAATAGAACGACAAGATCATTTGAAGAAATTAAAAGGAATAAACTTCTGACATCACGGGATTTACAAGATTTAACAGGAAATGTTCAGATGGATTTTAACTCGACTTAGCTCAAATGAAAGCTGGTAGTGTCTACTTTAAGATAGGGTAGATTATGTTGAAATTGCATAACAAGTCTGTTCGCGGACTCATTGCACAACTTAATACGTCTGGCTAATCGGTGGGTAATAATAATCATGTATAATATAATTCAATGCTTCGCAGACTTGGGCCGCTAGGATTTTTGAGTATGGAGGACACGGTGTTGCCTGGAAATAATGGAATGAAGGATCAAGCGCAGGCCATTCGGTGGGTGCATGAAAACATAGCTGCATTCGGTGGCGACCCCAACCGAGTAACTATCTTCGGAGAAAGCGCTGGAGGCGCGAGTGTTCATTACCACATGATGAGTGACTTGACGAGAGGTAAATAACAAACGAATATGCACGGTATTTGACGTTTGCAAAATATTCTAAAATACACTGTCGAAAATCAGCGATGATTCCAACGGTCGGCCGTAATTTTAACGTGGTAACTTTAAAATTTAATGTAAAAGTTTAGATAATAGAAAATAACTATTGAGTGATCATTACTAGACTGCGGATCTTTATGCAAAATAAAAATTGTTTAAGTTAATCGTAAGAAACATAAATTAGTTGAAAATATCTTTCTTGCTTCGATAATTCTAATAAGTTGAAACTAATGTAACAATATCCTCAAATCTTTTTAATGTATTCAGTTCATCAGTGGAAGATTCACTAATTTCGTTAATGAGGTAGTAGTATAATTTAAATTCAATATATTTCCGCATACTTTTGCTTCGCAAGAATGACGGAGAAATCGAGAAAACTATTACAAAAAAACATTTTTGTGGACACAAGGAGGAGAAACGATCGTCAAGAATTAATTTATTTCTATGCTAAAGGATTTAAGTCAACGATAAAATCAATAAAGGGAACAGCAGTAAGATTATTTGAGAAGATCCTCGAAGATTAAACTGTTATTAGTTGTCAATTAATCTCTTAAGCTGAATAATTGATGCAGGTGTTCGAGTTGAAAGCATCGCGTTGAGAACGTCGATAAAGAGCATTAAAATTTCAAAATAAATTAGTATTGGAACAGCGGCAGATACGAATTTGCATAACATGAAAATTATTACACCTGGGCATGAATTAACGTTAAAATCATATTTCGATGGAATTAATTGTGAAAATGGTAGGCCTCTAGATTAAATTAAGCACTTTAATAAATGCACTGAACGCGTACACGTAAGATGAATATCTACAAACAATTTACGAGACGAACACATCGGAAAAGACCGCGCACCGATTTACAAATCCACGCACGTAATCGATTTTTACGATTTTGCTAACAATATTGAGAATAAAGTTTCATAACACTCCTATTAATCGTGTTCATGGCAGAATAAATTACCGGGTAAATATCATGATTCGCACAAACGATCGCGTTGGAGCCGAAATGAATTTTCTCAGGGAAATCGCACGCTGCAGGAAAACTGCGGTCGACCACGTTCAAGGTCGCTGAAACTGAAACATGTCACGAAAAAAAAAAGGAAAAAATCCCCGATTGCATGATTCACGAGCATACCACCATTATTCACGATTAATTGTCTCGCACGACGACTAGTTGACAATTCAATTCGCGCAATGCATTTTGATTTTGATGACCTTTTAAACAAACAGGCCTGTTCCATCGGGCGATTTCACAAAGCGGCAACGGTTACTGCCCGTGGGCTGTGGCCAGGCCAGGTTCAGCGAAGAGGAATGCCATCAAACTAGCAGATGTTCTGAGCTGCCCTACGAAGGACACGAAGAAAATGATCGCTTGCCTGCGGGAAAAAGACGTTCAAAAGATCATCGAAACGGATCGAGTTTTTCAGGTAGTTAAGAACATTATAAGCAGACTGCGGATTTTACGCAATTACAACAGAAGTTGTAAGATGAAATGCAACAATGAGAAGACAGTAGGAGAATTAAAAAACATTGTTACATTTTTTATGAATGTATAACCCTTTGCTCACCGGTGGTGTAACTCAGGATACCGTTGNTATTATATATTATATATTATATATTATATATTATATATTATATATTATATATTATATATTATATATTATATATTATATATTATATATTATATATTATATATTATATATTATATATTATATATTATATATTATATATTATATATTATATATTATATATTATATATTATATATTATATATTATATATTATATATTATATATTATATATTATATATTATATATTATATATTATATATTATATATTATATATTATATATTATATATTATATATTATATATTATATATTATATATTATATATTATATATTATATATTATATATTATATATTATATATTATATATTATAATTTTTACTTATTTGTATTTGAAAATTTGTTAAAAGAGTCGTTGTATGAGTCACAAAATTCATGAAACGGAGATATTGTAAGTTTGAAAAATTATTTTATATTTAAAGTGTTGGAATAACTTTTGAGAGATGGAGTACATTTTTATTCAACTCCTGTTTCGTTCGATTAATGCAATTTATTCTTATTTATAACCTTCATTGTGTATAAGGATCCGCAGTCTAATAATAAGAAACTCGGAGTTTTAATTCTTACATATTGGTGTGATGATCTAATACACGCGAGATCTTGTATTATCATGCAGCAATATTAATTTTCATTTATTTACTAACAGTTCGCTTGCTTGAATTAGTGAATAGAATCATGTGCAGTTATGCACATGCAACCCTCATTGGTCCCTCGTGCCAATTAAACATATTTCTCACTGATTTCAGGTAAATAATATGTTTTACATTTCGTTTAATTAGTTATAAACGACGCTATGAATCTCATTTTAAACTTATTTACTTTCGTCTTAGGTTTTCATGTTCAAAGGGGGGATTTGTGAAGTTAGATATTAAGAAGGAACAAATTAAGGAAGGAAAAATGAGGGACTGATGTAAAATTAAATATTAATGAAAAACAAATTAAGATGGAAAAATCAGGGACTGATGTAAAGTTAAATATTAATGAAAAACAAATTAAGATGGAAAAATGAGGGACTGATGTAAAATTAAATATTAATGAAAAACAAATTAAGATGGAAAAATGAGGGACTGATGTAAAATTAAATATTAATGAAAAACAAATTAAGATGGGAAAATGAGGGACTGATGTAAAATTAAATATTAATGAAAAACAAATTAAGATGGAAAAATAAGAGATTGATGAAGGTTAAGTCTTAAAGTTTTAGTAGTAGATGGTTCTTACGCCGAAGGTATCGAAAAATGGTGTCGTCGAGTGAAATTGTTGTAACCTCCAAGGCCAATAATGCTACAATGTTACTCATCATAACGTGTTGCAGCTCTCTGTTACCCTTGAAGGGACTAATTGAATGGAGTAAAATATAGCAGGTTCTCAATGTTGCAACAGTTATTCAGGATGTCCTGGTTTCATGACCTCAAGCAAAAGAGTCACTTTAAACAAGCTAACAACTGGAAGATATTTGTTCTTGTTTGAGTGTCTTTCAATGAGCACGATGTCTTATAAAATACTGCACGGTTTGAAGCTACGAATTTATCATAGAAGATAAATATTTTTTCAATTCGTCTGCATGATAAAAATCTCGAATCATTTTCTTGTCATTGAAGCGATAAATTTGAATCTACGAATCGATGTAAAATTAACTTTACCTGCTATGCATAGCGCAGAATTTCTTTGAAAACAGAGCTTAGTGGCATTTCCGCTGCGTGTATTTCTTCAGAAGGAAACTGCTTTGAATAATTCACT